AGAGTTTGCTTGCAATTTGCCTTCTCATTAACTTTGCTCTCAGTATGAAACCAGGCAGGACATCCAAGACTGAAAAAGGAAGGAAGGGTTCTAGAACTATCTCCTTATACTTTTGAGTTAGGGTGAGGTGGGGGTTGGGTGGGGGTGGTGGCTCAGAATATTTTTATAGGAATCTTCAACGGTTTTGTGTTTTACAGTTTAATAAGATGTAAAAGGTAATTGCTAAGGGCAAGTGCCATGGCTTAATGACAATAACGGAATATTTATACACTGTCAAACTCTGGAAGTGTCAATATTGGAACTTTGGTGTGTTCTGATACCTGTCCCCATCTAGAATGTGCCACATACTGTGATTCCCTCCTCTGGACCTAGAGCCAGGCTTCCCCTCAGCCTCCCACATCAGAGAGTGCAACTTTGCACACTCCAAGTGTATTTCCTCTCTGGAGCTGCGGTTTGCAGCTTTTGAGCCTAAACATTTCACTCAAAATCGCACGCAATCATGTTGCAGCTTAGAAAGGGAACCAGTGGCTTATTAAGCCACCACTTCCTCAACCTGTTGCATTTTTACGCAGGGCTTCCTTGACCCTGTGAATTGACAAGGGCTTTTGGTAAAGCTGCGCATGCCTCCAGAGACCTTGCTCTGCAAAGAATCCTGGCCACTCGGGGGTACCCAGCGAGCAAGACAGCTTCAGGAAAGGACAACATGGGCCAGCAAGATAGCTCAGAAGACTGAGTGTCTGCTTAGATAAGTACAGGAACCAGGGTTCAATCCCTGGCACCACATGCTGTGTCAGTCCCACCCCCTGGCACGCTGAGCTGGCCATCAAGACTGGGCGTGGTGGCACATGCCTGTAATCCCAGTGCTGGGGAGGCTGAGACAGGAGGATCACTATGAGTCTGAGCTGTGAGACCCTGTTACAAATACATTTTTTAAAAAAGACAAAAAGAAAAAGACAGCGGTAACCATGATCCCCCTGCCCCCTGCCCCAACCTTGAAGACAGTTGCATGATTTGTTGTGGAGCACCCGTTCAGCCTTGCTAGAGTCTCACATTTGGCCTTCCCCTTCTGTTCATCAGATGATAGGGGATCCCTGTGTTCTCACCTGCCCCTGCAGGGCTGGGCTCAGCTGGGAGGTTCAGGTTCACTCTCACCTGGTCCCTTGCAGTTCAGAGAGAATTCAGGGAAGCTATCTGGCTGTTTGGGTGAACAGAGCCTCTTCTCCTCCCCTAGCTGAGATGACAGGGACCGGATCCTGCTCTATCCCAAAGCTATTGGCTTCTCCACAGCAGCATAACAAACTTTGAACAGACTAGTGGGGAATGGTAAGAGTCCTAGTGGTTTTGGCAGATGGGACAAAATCGTCTATAGCACAAATGGGAGAGGAGGTGAAATTATAGATGGCCAAATATCAGTATCTTCACAACCACACTCTAAGGCCCTGACCCCTCACAAACCATGCAAAATAGATAAGAACAGAATATACAACCACATGAACAGAGTTCCAGAGAATGATGCATGTACTGGAGCCTTCTTGGTTGGAGAGATACAAGTGTGGATCAAAGAGCAGCTACCTTTTTAGGCTGGGGAGTTTCTCCTGTTGGGCAAACAGAAGAGCAGGTTGGGCTAGCAGGGCATGCGCATTATCACCCATCTCTTCTCAGCTAGGGCAATGTGCTGCCAGAATGACTTTGAGCAGAGCTGTCCCACTTGACCTGGGGAAGGGAGCTTCTGCTGCCCATGGAAAGCCACAGGTCCTCTGCATACCTCTCAGAGGTTGGTCATGCTTTCCTTTTAGGAAAGAATGTGAACTCCCCAGCTGGTGTGGAAATCCTCTCTGAGGACTTTTTGTAGCTGCTGCATATATTTGTTCTGAGCAACAAGAAAACTCAAATAGGTTGAGAGATAACACCTTCACTTGTTTGTACTGTGAGTTTTTAGGCAAACACAGAGGTCTAGATGTACATCCAAGCCTCTCTTTGCAATTCTAATTAACCTCAATGTTACAACACTAAGCCTATCTTGCAGAGTTTGAAGAAATATGCAAAAACTGTGCTCCTTTCTCCCTACCCCCAAGTGCCATTCTGGAACCTTCCTGTTCCAGAATTTCCCTATTGTTATCAGGCACTGAACACTCTGTGTCCCAAGGCAACAAGGTACAGTACCAAACATGACAGCGTGTGGCCGTGGTCTTGGTATACTCTGTTGAGCTGATTTTGGAGAATTGGCACAGCTCAACCTGCCTCCTGCAACGTCTTCCTGTGCCTTCAAATTCTATTTAGTCATCAAGATCTCTGAACTTGTGCCCCTCTTCTAGCTCCATCCAGCAGAAAGTAAGTGTGGCAGAACAGAGCAAGTTGAAAATCCAGACCAGAACCATCAAAGCCTGGGTTTCCAGGGAGCATAGATGGATGCATTTAATAGCAGCAGAGAACCTTCATTTTCTCCACTGAGGGGCCAACATCTCTGACAGGAGGAAGCCTGGGAAAAACACAGGTGTTTCTTGACTTACGATGATTCAAGTTATGATTATTAAACTTTACAATAGTGAAAAAGTATACTCATACAACCATTCTGTGTTTTTCACCATCAGTGAAAATTCTATGAAATACTCAATAATATAAAATTGGCTTTGTGTTAGATGGCTTTGCCCAACTGTAAGCTAGCGGGAGTGTTCTGTGCATGTTTCGAAAAGGCTAAGCTGAGATGTTCAACAGGCTTGGGTGGACTGAATGCATTTTGACTTATTGTCGTCTCAAGTTATGATGGGTTTACTGGCAAGTAATTGCACTGTAAATAGAGAAGCATCTGCCTTTGGGGAAAGTGATTTCTGCTGGAAACCAAATTAATGAGATTTGAGACTGAGAGAAGGTGAGCGAAGGGGCAGAGGGCTCCAGGGCACCACATAAGACCCACTGAAGGCAGTGTGGTGACAGCGGAGAATGCAGGGAGAGGGTGGCCTCTGGCAGGCATCTGTTGCCACAGCCCCCCTGGTTGTAGGATGAGGTGGGAGGAGCTAGCATGCTCCTCTCTCCTCCAGGAGAGGTGGCCTCCTGGAAGTTTATTCTTGTTCTGTGGCCAGTAAGGAAGATGGCATGGGCCTGCCGTGTTGGGGAGCATCGTGCTAAGGAGGGAAGCTGAGCGCCCCTTGTTCCTGCTGTGCCACCCCAGCACTCATGCTCACACGGAGCCTCACGGGTACCAGGTCGGAAGGCTTAGCCATGCACCTCAGTGTTTGATGGCTTCTACATGCAGAATCATGGACTCATGAGGCAGCCTCAGAGCAGGAATCTTTACATCATCCCCCACTGCTCCTGCATAAGCACTAGAGTAATGGGGCGTTCGTATACCATTGAGCTTGCCTCTCCCATGTCTAGGCCTGTTGGCAGGTCACTTCGGGCAAGCCCAATGATTGATCTGCTCATTGTATCTTCACCTTTAATCCCTGTACCCAGGCAATCCACATGGTTACTCATTCCATTTTACAGATGTGCAGCCAGGTTGGACGAGTCATACCACTGGTGGAAAGTCCCAAAGGCAGTAAGGGTCAGGCTGGGGCTCTAACTTAAATGTATGACTACGGAAAGGAGACACTTACATCATTTAGGTTGCCTTACATTAATTAATTCCAGCCCTCACTACTTAGGAAGTTCTTTATTATGAGCTGAAATCTGCCCTGCATCTGCTGTCCCATGGTCCTTGTGTTGTTGTCTAGAAAAATTTAGACTGTGTCTGATGCTTCTGCAATATATCATTTCTCATTATTTAACTTCTCTGACCTGCACATTTTTTTTTTTTAACCTGAGAAGTGGAGCTAGCAATAATCTTTATACGTGGTTGTTGTAGGTACTGCACGAGGTAACGCAGGAACGGTAGCTAGCAGCCCCAGCATGTGGAGGTGTTCCATGGCAGGTTGCAGCCCATTTGCATGCGTCTCCTGCTGGTTTTGGCTCAGTGTTAGCAGCCAGCCCAGATTGGTGCACTCATGGCCTTTGGGCGCACTTCTGCAGTCTACTGTAGGATCACAAGCGAGAGGGCAGTGCATGGGCCATGTGGGGCAGACAAAGTAGCCGGTGCTTACAGGTGTGGCTTAGAAAGGAAGGAGAGGGAGATTCTAGTGGAGCAATGAACTGGGCAGACTGGCTTTTGTTTCATTTTGTGGATAAGAAAGACCTGATGGTGTCTCAAGAATAAAGAGGAGGAGAAGAGGCTGAGATAGGAGCAGAGATGAAGCACAAAGGAGGGTGAGAAAATTGGCCAGGATCATCGGTGGGGGGCTTAACCTGGGGAAAAGAATATGTTCATTTTTCTGAACAAAGAAAGCAAGCAGAGAGGTAGCTGCAGAGAAGGATACCCAAGTTGTGTTGCCAGGTGAGGAAAGAACCTGAGTTTCTTAACCTGTTTGCGCAGGGCAAGGGACACCATCTCCGGGTCTGGATTTTCTCTTGTTCTCTCTGCTAGGTATTACACTGGACAGGTGTATTGCATGCTGCACAGCAGATGGATTCATGCAGCCAGCTTTCCTATGGCAGCGGAGACACATCCTCACACACTCAGTTGAGAGGGGAATTTCCAGCATCTCCACTCCTGTTTTGTGAGGAAGTTATTTGATCTCCTTGAGTGGTGGCGTCCGTGTCCACAGAATGGGGACAGTTCTTCCCGCTCACAGTCCTTCCTGTGCATGGCTCAGTGAGGGCCTGCATACCACAACCTACAATGTCACAGTCTACCTTAAAGGCAGAAGTTCTCTTAGCTGTACAGACAGGCTCAGAGGGGCATGTGCCTACAGAAACAGTGTATTTTTCCCCCAAATTAAAGGCTTTTGGCATTGTTTGTGTCTAGTTGTCCTCCCAAAGCCTCATGCAGCCATGGGGGCAGAGACTTCTAGAGTTTGAGATTAACTCATGATCAAGGCTGGGATTATGGGCCTTAGTGCTGCTGGGATTATGGGTATGCATACTTCCCCCAGGCTGGGACAGAGAGTCTGAATGTGATTTAAGAGAGACAGACTTCCTCTCAGTAGCCATTGTTGCTGTTACTCTTCCATTTCGTTCTCTTGCTCTTTGCTGCTGCCCTGAAAGGTTGCCCTCTGCCATGTGCCACTCTGCCTTGGAGCTAGCTGAGTATGGCCTGAAACCTCCAGTAACTGTGAGCTAAATAAACCTTTCCTTCCTTCATTTTGGGTGTCAGGTATTTGTCCCAGCAATGAAAGAAGAGTAACTTAGACAGCTTTTATTCATCTGAACAACTTGTAACGATGGGCTTTGCACACCTATTTTATTTTATTTTTATTTTTTGGAGACAGTATCTTGCTGTGCGGTTCAGGCTGGCCTTGAATTCATTGTATAACCATGGCTGGACTTGCACTTGCGGCAATCTTACTGCCTCAGAATGAGGCAGACGTGTACCACCATGCCTGCATAGTGGCAAAATAAAGCTAATGTCTTCTTGAGGGGGCTAACATGAGATCGAATGAAGAAAAGGAGCCCAACCATTTCCCTTCCTTTCACAAGTTGGAGTATAGGAGTACAACGGGGGGGGAGAGGGGAGAGAGAGAGAGAGAGAGAGAGAGAGAGAGAGAGAGAGAGAGAGAGAAGAAAGCCATTCATTCCCATACCACCCCATCTAGAACCACCCCCTGCAAAACTGTGCCCCGAGCGGCCTCTGCCCCCCGCTCCCCTCCCCCACCCTGCCATACCTGCTTGTTGCTCTCAAGCAGAACGAGGCTCTGAAGCTCCTTGTGAAGGTCCCAGACACTTTGCTCAGTCCAGAGGACTTTTCTTGATGGCCACCTTTGGCCTGGCCCAGGCCTGGCTTTCCCACAGGGTCCACGCTGTACACCCTGTGGAATGCCTGATGGTGTTCTCGTAGGAGCTCCCTTCCTTGTCAACCTCAGCTCTACACACTGCGAAATTTTAATTTACGTATTGCATTTAGGTGAGCAATCCGTCTCCCCCTCCAGAGTCCTTGCCAGAATGCAAACTTCTTGGCCAAAGCTCTTGGACTGCTTTGCTTCAGATGTAAGCCAAGTCTCAGGGGTGAGGCAGGCAACAACAGATCTATGTCCCTGGAGGAGCAACTCATGGCCCACCTCTTTGGCCCCTTCTGTGGTTCTAGAAGGGTCCTGCTCCCCGACCCTCTCCATCCTCCTGTCCTAAGCAGGACATTTTGACTCACAAACAATTATTATTATTATTTTTTAATTCACAAGCAGTTCTTACTGCTGGACCTTTGCATGTGCTCTTCCGGAGAAGTGTGATGCCCCTTTCATCCCTGCTTTTTCATCTACTTGGCCAATTCCTGCTTGTTTTTCAGATTGTGTCTGAGGTAGTAGGTCTACTAGGAACACCCTGATGGAACTGCGTTCTCATGAAGGTCCATTTGGGGCTAGGAATTGAGACACGGTCTTTCTAGGTGGCTCAGGCTAATTTTGAATTGATTTTGTAGCTCTGGCTGGCCTCAAACCCACTGTAACCCTACTTCCTCAGCTTCCCAAGTGCCACGCTGGGCTTCGAAGATTCATTTTGACATGATCATCTCTGGTGGAATTTCTGCTTTACTTTTTTTGTCTATTTCTTCAGATCGTGAGATCCTGAAAGCTAGGCCTCTGTGTTGCTCACTCTTGTATCTTTGGCACCAAACAGCAATCAGGCCAGAGCAGCGGCTGAACGTATGTTTGCTAAGTGACATTTGATGGAGGACATTTAGGGCAATTTGGAGCTCGGTTCAAGGAACCATTGTCATGTTCTAATTTTTACAGTAAAGCAGCAGATTCCTCAACACGTCTGGTATGAACCGAATGTAAACTTTTCTCTCTGGCAGCGTTCTTTGCCCACAAGGTGGAGCACGAAAGCAAGACCCAGAATGGGCGGAGCTTCCAGAGGACGGGAACACTCGCCTTTGAGCGCGTCTACACTGCCAAGTGAGTCCAAACCCTGAACTGCTGACTACCAGGGTAGAGATAGGGGTTTGGGGAGCCTCCTTGCAGGAGTGAAGGTCACCTGCAAGGCCGCATGAGTGGCTGGGCCAACCTTTGGAGTGCCCAGGAGGTGGGTTCCTGCCTGGTGGAGGATGTGAGGATGCCCTTCAGCATCTTAGTGTCTGAGAGTGTCAGAAGAAAGGAAGTGGGCACATGGGGTGGGATAGCAGCCTCCGTAGTTCTAGAAACATCCAAGATAGTCATTTAGTTGGGAGCTCCAGCCCAGAGGTGACTCTAAGGTCCCCGGAGCTCCTTCCAAGAGGATTCAGGGTCACCTAAGGAAAGTGTGTTTAGAATGACAATAATAGCGCAAACTCAAGGATGAGTAGTCGCCCACCACCATGGCCACTGATGGCTTCTCGTGGATCACGCTGACTCCAAGGGTGCTTGATGGGACAGTTCCACATCAGAAGCCTCCTTTTCAGTCCTTTCCCTCATTAAGGCGCACAGGCAGGGGTTGAACTTGTAATCCTCCTGCCTCAGCCTCCCAGCATGCTAGGATTATAGGCATACACCACCAGCACTCTTAAATATGGCCTAGCTCCTCCACTCTGAGAAGTCACAGTGAAATTTCACTGCATCTTCTTAGCAGTTAAGATTCCATTTTGTTGGTAACAAACGAACAGGGCAGGCTGAGTTGTCCTATTTCTGTCACTTGTCCCCAGGAGCAAAACAGCAGTTGCTAAGAATCCAGTGTATTTATACTTCACTGGCTATTGGCCTCTAAATTGCAGAAGTGCACTTTGGCTGGTGGTTGGCAGGGTGGTTTGGAGGTTCTGCATTTATATAGGGCTCCAGAGATAAGAAGGCAAAAGAGGGGAGTAAGGGGTGACCAGTTGTTGTTACTTAGAGGTCCTGTGTGGGAGTTCCAGCCATTTGCAAAACTGATGAGTCTTTGCTACTTAGTTCCTGTGAGAGGGGCAGGAAAAGAATGCAGGGAGAGGGCAGAATGCAGGGCGAGCCCAGAAACAAGGGCAGGTGGCACAGCCAAGAAGGAAAATTGCTCAGGCACTGCTGTGGTTCTGTTATAGACAACATTTCCTCTCTGGCCCAACAATGGCATGAGTGTGACAGTGTGAACTGTAAAAATGGCTGGGCTTAGTAGTTACTTTTCTCGTTGCTGAGACAACATACGGGACACCCAAAGTTAAAGGGAGGAAAGGTTTATTTAGCTCAGGTTGTAGAGGTTTTAGTCCATGATCACAACAGTTCATGGTGGTGGAAGACAGCAAAAGCAGTGAGAGCGACAAGGGATGGAGGGAGAGAGAGAGGGAAGGGGTGGGGAGAGAGAGAGAGAGAGAGAGAGAGAGAGAGAGAGAGAGAGAGAGAGAGAGATCTTTCTGTCCTTTATATTGTGTGCACGCTACCTGCCCTAGGGCAGATATAGCACTCACACCCTCAATTCCAGTTTTGGACTCTGAGTCAGTCACAGACTTTAGATTTAGCCACCTCCAAAAGCATAACTGCATGAGTCTTTGGGGGAACATCTAGGTTCAAACCGTAACATGGCCAGAGATCAGTGCACAGGCTACTGCATACTGGCAAGAGCCAGAGGCACCCAGGGTGCTTGGCTGTGCCAGCAGACTACTGGGAGGGGGTTATGTGGTGCTTTAGATGACATTGTCCCCAGCAATAGCTTCCTCAAGGGACTTAAAAATGCCAGAAAGGGATGTAAGATATTTATGGGGGTGCAGGAGGAAAAGAACATGTATTTAATCTTGCTATCCAAAACATAAGAAATGAAGCTGCATTCATTTTAAATAACCAGATTGACAGCACATGTACTGCATACAATTTATACATAAATATACCTGTCAGAGTTTCATGATCAAAGCCATTGGCTGATAGGATATGGGATTGTAAATGTTTAGATGCCCTGGAGATGAAAGAAAAATGCAAAGAGTGATACTAGTGAATTAATGCATTTTATTTCAGCATAAAATGCAACTTTGACAGATAGAAATGGCATTTCTGAGGCAGGGGATTAATGGACAGCTCAGCTGGCATAGGTGGTTCATCAGCTCGGACTCAGCCTTCCACACTGACTTATTCTACCATCTGCCTCCCATAAGGGCAGCACCGAGTCAGGAGCTGAGAGCCGGGAAGAGCTGGAGGTTGATTCTCTTGTCCACAGGCCAAAAAAAAAAAAAAAATGCAGTTCAGTGCTCTGTTCCCAGAGGACAGGACCACCTTGGTCAGCGCTGAGGTTTGGAAGAAAAACCCTTAGGTTAGGTGACCTAGGATCCTTCTTGTGAGAACAGAAAGTAGACTGGGTCTCTGGAGACGCATAATTCCCCAACAGGTGTTCTGTGGATTCCAGCTCCAGGGCTCACTTACACGTTTTGCAGGGAAGGACTAGTTCCTGACACCCTGCTTTTGAGAACCTGTGACATATTAAGGGACACTGATTTTTGGGCCATTAAGAAGGGCTGTCAGTTAATCACAAATGGTCTCCACATTCTTGTTTTTTTCTGAAACACATTTTGAAAACCTGTCAGTTCTCCTGTATCGATTGACCCTCACCATGGCCTCACTTTCAAGTCATGTAGACGTGTACATTTATTTGAAGATGCTAAGTGCACAATGACCTTATTGACTAGTATTGACACAGTTTATTGACTGTTATTCATAGTTCCTTATTCTAAATCAATCCAAAACAATTATCAGAACCTTGAAGCATCCCTCTATTATATTCTGAGAAATTGAGAAAAATTAAAAGGAAAACAGTGCCAGCTCTTTTCTCCAGGAAGAGTATAGGGCATGAGACCGAAGATAGCACAGTAAATTATTGGAAGATTTGCTGAACGACTCATATTCAAGAAATGTGAATCAAAATTAGCTTGTCAGTTTTGTTGAAAGAAATGACATGAAACTCCCTAAAAGAAAATCCATAGTAGTACCACCACCACCACCAATAATAATAATAATAATAATAATAATAATAATAATAACACTAGAAAAAGATATGTCACTGGGGGAAGAGAGAAGACACAGGAACCATAGTAGCCACCATTTGCTGAGTGATTCTTGTGAGACACACAGAATTCCTGTCACTGAATTCTCCCAACAGTCCAGCAGGGTAGTTTCTAAGGTCCCCTTCACCTCTTACAGCTGAGCAGACGAAGGTGCCAAGAGGCCAGGAAGACACCTGCGTTCACACAAGCAGCCTTGGCTTTGGCTATGGGCTGTGTGAACCCACGAACAGCAGCGTCTCCATGGCAGGGCTCAGCTGTGCCACTGTCCAGAGCTCCCCAAGTTCTGCTCAGCAGCAACTCCCCACGGAGTGTGTGGGAGGAAAGCAAACTGGCTTGGGGACTGGGATGACAAATGTGCTAGAAATCCTGAGTGGGAAGAGGGACAAGCTTGAGCTTCATTGAGGGATAACACTCAGGAAATATTCTAGAAATTGCAAGGAATAGTCCATTCTCTGATGGGAGAGTTTTGTTCAACTCCAGACAGACCATATTTTATTAGGACCCAAGGTGACTTGAAATAATAGGACAGACTCATCACTGGACAGTTCTCTTGAATGAGAAAATTCTGGGACAACTAAGGATTTATTTCCCTTTTAACCAGAAGAAAAATCACTGCTTGAAAAGAAGCAAAATGACCCAGAAACATGAGAATGAGGAGGAAGCAGAGGAAATAGATTTTCCATCTACAAAAGCATAGATATTATATCCCATTGATATAACACGGTATTCAACTGACAGAAAAAGGAGTTCTTTTTCTCTAGTTTTCTTCAGCTGGGAAATGAATCACATTTTCTCAGTCCCGAGGCTGCAATTTTGTGCCTGCTCTAATGGATAAGAATAGAATAGAAGTGAGGCTGGCGCACAGGTGTAACTTTGCACCTGTATGTTTGTGGCATCCAAATGGACCCCTCATAAAGGCCTCCTACCCCTTGGAGTGTTTACCAGATCAGTGAAAATTCAAGGTCTCCAGGGGTATGTTCCTCCTGTCCTGTGCCTGGCTTAGGCTGTGCCTGTGTCCCAAGAGGAATACATGGATTGCTTGCCCACTACACTTAGCAACTTCTCCAAGGAAGGCTCTTTTGGCTATCAGAGGATCATGATGGTCTATGTGACCAGGCAAGGACAGCTTGGTTCCTTGGGGGTCTCTGTAGAGTATGGATCAAGTTTTGCCTGTTTCAAATGCATAAACAACTTCCCATAACTATAATGAAATACCTGTCTTGGGCTACTTATTGAATAGCAAATAGGGACTCTAAATTCTGGAGGGGCAAACACATCATAGCAGGAACACATGTCAGAGTGAGGGACATGTCCAGCCAGGAAGGAGAGACAGGGAGAAAGAGAGGGAGGAGGAGAGAAGACACTGGTGTGTGTGTGTGTGTGTGTGTGTGTGTGTGTGCGTATGTGTATCCAGTTCCTTTAATTTGTTTTTTGTTAGCATGTTTTCAATGTGTAATGCTTACATTCTTGCAGAGAGCTGGTAAATATGCATAATACATCTTTTTACATTTCTTTTCCCTCTCCTCCCTCCCCCTTTTCTCCATCTCTGCTTTCCCATTCCTTTTGTAAGAGATCTCCCTACTTCTTATTATCTTTTATTTTGCATTCTCAGTGACGTAAGGACCTCCCATTAGGTCCCACCTCCTAAAAAAGGTGCATGGCACTTCCCAGTAGGGTCACTCTGGGAAATGTTTTGGGGCATGCCTCCCAGGTTCAAAGAGCATACAGCACTCAAGTTTTTTTCTTTTTTTAATGTATTTAGTACAGGGTCTCACTATGTAGATTGGACTCGTAGTGATCCTCCTGTTTTCAGCCTCCCAAGTGCTGGGATTACAGGCATGCACCACCACACCCAGTCTCATTCACTGTCTCAATGCACCCAAGGCTGGGGATTGAACCCCGGGCCCCTGCATCTGCCTAAGCAGGTGCTTTAATCCTCTGAGCTATCTGGCCAGCGCTAGCACCCAAGTTTTTGATGGTAGCAATTAAAAAGAAGCATCTTGAAAATCACATTTTCACTTTTACCTGTGTAGTTTGAACCCCATTAACCTATGGTCCTCAAACTTCAGCATGTGCCAGGAGGGCTTGTGGTAAAGCAGATTGCTGAGCCTCTTTCTCAGTTTTAACTCTGGAGGTCTGAGATGGACACATGCATTTGCCTACCTAACAAGGTCTCGGGCTGCTATGCTGATGTTACTAGAGAGAAATAATACACACCCCACATCAGACCATTGACTCCTAGAACTTCCTTGGATCTCAGAGTTGTTTTCAGTCTTTTAGTTTTACAGATGAGGAAACTAAGTCTAGAGGCACTGCTTTGCCAATAGTGAAAAACTGGCTAAAGGTAGGATGAGGACTTAGTCCTAGTCAAATGCCCCTTCTACTGTATCTCTTTGCCCAACTCATGCGCCTGTCATATCTTGCTCTGTTGGCATTCCACGTTTACTGTTTATTGTCCTGATCTAGACTGCAGATTCCTTATGAGTGCCTCTCTTGTTTAATTTAGTATGGTCAAAGGGTTAACAGCCTAGATCTGGAGACAGACGGATCAAGTACAAACTTGGCTTTACTTGGTTGGGAGATCCTGGGCAACTTAGTCTGCCACTCTGAGCTTCAGATTATTTTCTGAAACAGTAGAACTGTGATAGGAAGAAAAGTGCTGCGCTCTCTCCACACAAGTCCACATCCCTAATCCCAAGAATTTAGGAGACATTGTGTTTCACGTGAAGAAAGTATTCAGGCTGGTAACCAGTTGCCTTTGACATAAAGAAGATCATTTTGGGTTATTTGGGTAGGACTTGGTGTATAATTGCAAAGATCCTTCAAATGGGGGTGGAGTAAGCTGACATGATTTAACACTGGAAAGACTGGGGCTGGTGGTGTGACTCAGTGATAGAGCTCTTGCCTAGCATGCTCCAGATCCTGGGTTCTACTTCTATTACCACAAAAGCAACAGTAACAACACCTTTCTGACTCTGTCTACCTTCCTGAACAAACAACAGGAAGGCTCCAACAACCATCCCTGGCTTTGAAGTTGGAAGGGACCACAAGCCAAGAAAAACCAGGGGTCTCGAAAGGTTGGAGAGGCTAGGAATGGGCCTACTCTTAGAGCTTCAGACAGGTTATAGCTCTGCTCACACCTTGCTTTCAGCCCAGTAAGATCCTTCTAAGGCTCTTGACCTCCAGAGCTGTGAGACACATGTTCATTTTGTTTTAAGCCATCAAGTTGATGGCCCCTGTTTACAATAATAGCTGGTAGAAACTCATATAGTTGTCTTGTATACTCATGGGAATGTGGTGAGTGTAGAAGAGAGGACAGGTGAAAATATCAGCGCAATGCTTAGAACGGAGTGCACCCCTTGCTCCCAGGACAGTGAGGGCTCTGCCAGCGAGCTAACTTCCCAGATAGGCTTTTTGAATGGATTCAGGCTTCCTTCATGCTACGTCACTGTCTCAGCCCAGTCTGCAGACATGGGTGGATCCGTGCGGACAGCATCACCTCAGCTGGGCTTTTCTCCTCGGCCATGCTGCCTCACGTAAGGCCACACCCTGCTGTCTGAATTGCTTACTTTTAAACACTAATAAGTGCACAGGCACTGCCAGCAACAGACACCCTGCCAAAGTGAGTACATCGGGAAACTTAAGTCTCTGGTCAGTTTTGCCGTGCGAAGAGAGTTAATGGAATCTGAGCATGTGCTTGCTTCCCACCGCTGTCCGTTGGCTGCGCGTCATACTGGGTAGATGTGGGTGAAGCAATGAGAGGGGCTGTGTGGCCCTTGTGCAGTGGTGATTATGAAATTGGGGTTTCGATTCATTTTCAGACCACAGTGAACAGTGGGTTTTTCTGATCTCTCTCCTTCTTGTTTATCCCACAGCCAGAACTGTGTGGACGCATACCCTACATTTCTTGTGGTGCTCTGGACCGCTGGGCTTCTTTGTAGCCAAGGTAAATTTGGACTTGCCTTTGCATGCTCTTTTTTTGTACTGTGTTTCTCAGAGAAGTTCAAAGGGCGGGATTTGTGTTGAAAAGACTTTGCCTGACCTCCAGTTCAGACCTGTGCTGCCTGGCGGAGCCGAGAGCCCTGGGGAGGCCGGGTCGCAGGCGAGCCATGCGGTGCAGCATGGTGTGATAATGCATTGCTAATGCGTGCTCCCTGGTGGCTGGTTGAGAGCTGCATGCTGACAAGGGTGGTTTAAGGCTAAATGTGACTCTGAATCCACAAGCAGTGTTAGCTCAGATACAAGGGCATTATAAATGAGAGTGCCGGAGGGATCTATTCCAGGACTGCTGTCTCTTGGCTCTTCTGCTAATAAGCTCCCGGCGTGGTGGCGCTCCTCTGGGCATGTGCCTGTGGAGCCGCGGGCTGCATTCCAAGTCCCCAGCTACCCCAGGGTTATCAGCAGCTCGCAGTCTGGACTTCAATAGGTCGGAAGAACAGATCAATTCCCAGTGTTGATTTAAAATTGAATGGAAACTAGAGGCACATTATTTAGGCATCTTTGGAGATTTAACATCCCACAGACATGGCCACCGTTGGCTTCTGTCTGGTGGCAGCTTGGTGTGAGCAGGCCAGCTTTTGTGGATCCTCGGGAGTCACATGAAAAGGCCACGTCAATCCTCTGATGAGCTGCTTAATCACTACCATCTTTTCACTACTCTGCAAGTAGATAGAGTAGATATTCGTTCTCCCTTTACCTTTGAGGGCATTTTGGTTCAGGCAGGTAAAGTCACTTGTTCAAGGTTCCTCAACTGGTGAGCCACCAAGGCAGGATCAGAGCCCTTGTCTTCCAGTTCCAGTCCGTTCTGGATTTTTCACAAGTATCCTCTTACTTTATTCACTTATATAATAAATATACACAAAGTGTCTACTATATGCAAGTCCTGTATCTGGATATACAGAGCTAAGTAAGACAGAGATAACTGCAAAGGACAAACTGGCTGGCAAGAAAGACTCTAGAAAAGTGAACACACTGTTGTCAAGAGTCAGACCTATTAGAAAGGACAGAGGCCACGACACCCCATCGCCACCTTCAGTGCCTAGAAGGTGCCAGTGAGTTCACCATTTTCCAATTTCTATCCTGAGTGAAATGAGAAACATGACTAATGTTACTTGAAAAATCAAGTCCCACCCCATGCATACTGGGAGTTATGGCTCATTGAATGTCCTAGATGGTGCTTAATTGAGGTGAATCTACAGTGGCTCTGGTAAGGTAAATTCAAGGGAGCCTGATGGTGCTTGGAGCCTGGCAAAAGAAGCAGAGGCATTGCTGGGCTCAAATGCAGTGGTAACTGGTTGATGATTGTCATTGCTTCTGCATAGACCAGATGGTAGAGGTTTTCAGCTGAAAGGAGCCGTGGAAGGCATTGTAGCTCAAAGCCCTCACTTTACTGAGCAGGAGCCCAAGTTCCATTGACACAAATGGCTTGCTTAAATTTCAGACTTGTACAGCCTGGATTTGTCGCCTCCTGGTGGCACAGGTTCCCACTGGTGTCCCTGTCATCCCCTGCTGAAGGACAACGGGCATGGAGCCCTTCCAAGCTAATTTCTATTAGCTCATGTTCAATTGATTTCCCATTGAAAGAGAAATGGGCCAGAAAGTCAGATCAGAGCCATCCAAGTGACAAAACCCAGGAACCACCTTGAGGCAAATCAGATTGTGACAGTCTTGTGTCTTTCAGAGAACAGGATGAACCACAGCTTCTTAGGTGCCCCATTTTTTTTCACCCACCCTAAAACAACAGTATTTTGGAAGAACATCTATGGAAAAAATTGGATCTTGGGGAGTGACAGATTTGGGACAAATCCAGCAACTCCATTGTTAGTGGGGGCTCTTTACTCTGCCCTTTGAGCCTCAGTTTCCTCACTAGAAAACAGTGCCATCATGGACCTTCTGCTGTCCTAAGGAGGACCAAGGGGAGCAATATGCATGAAACCCTGACTTTGTGCTGCCTGCATCAGACTGAGCCTTCCACTTGCCAGAGTCCGTTTATGACCCACAAAAAGGGCAGGTTTGGATGGTTCAGCTTAAGCTCAGTGACTGCCATCATTGATGCTGCAGGTGGTGGTGCTGATAGGTTTGAAATCAGAAGGACCTGGCTTTGACTTCTGTGCTAATTGCCTAACTTTTTAATTCACTTGACAAAAATTTTTGAAAATTTATATATGGCAGGCACAAAGGTGATCTAGGAAGGGACAGTTGTTCTCATGAATCTTTTGGTCTTAACTTACTTCCTCTTCTGTCAAATGGTGACAGTAAAGTGCTCCTTCCTGGGTGTCTGGGAAGCCAACAGACCTGAGTTCCTTATTGCCAGGGAGACAACTGACATACAAAAAGTAACCAGAAGCAGCAGTTAATTTGGTATTTAAATAATGCTTGAAAGTTTTCCAAGCACCTTCATAACTAAGACCCAATTCCACTGTCACTCATTTCTAATAGGAAAAAAAAAGCTACAACCAGCCCTTTGTCCATATGCAGAATGAGCTAAGCGTCAATAGCACCACTCCTTGGAGAGCAGGATTGTCTGACTTCCAACTCCAAGTTCAGGACTCCCTGAAGCCACCAAGGGGCTCCCTGAGGTTCTTTTCTGAGGTGCAAGAAGGCAGAGAGAATCTCCTTCCTGAGAGTCCTTCTAGAAACAGTAGCAACAGTCCAGAAGAGGTAAAGAATATTTTACTGGGAGTTCCAGGAGTACAGGATGTGATTCCAAGGGCATCAGAGGAAAGGTCTGGGTTCAAGTCCTATCCTCCCCTCCTTACAGCTGGCAGCTTCACATACCTCTTTGACTACCTGGGCCCAACTTTCTCCATCTAGAAACAGACACACTGATGCCTGTCACACTGGAAGGGTTCACACTACCTGAAAGGCAGAATCTTCATAAGCCACACCATGAGACTGGTATAAGGTAACGACAGTGTGATCATTACAATTCTTAAGTTTCTTTTAGCTGTTTAGTTTCTATCTGAAATTCATGCCAGCCTCCACCATCAGAACACATGGGCTCTGCTAGATTTTGTGGCCACTTAATGACCACATTGCTATTGTGTTTCTGAACCATTTTTGGGGGTCTGCGAAACTAACCTGGTGTTTTCATTTCTCCTCTTAGTTCCTGCCGCCTTTGCTGGACTGATGTACTTGTTTGTGAGGCAAAAGTATTTCGTGGGCTATCTGGGGGAGAGAACTCAGAGGTAGGTCCCTCGGACTGTTGAAGAACTGCTGGGATGCTGCCTGCTTTTCTGGCGGGAGAGGTGATAATTCTGAATGATATACTGGCCACTATTTAAGGTTCCCTTGACGCTGGTGAAGAGGACTGTCCAGGATCTCACATCCTCTTTGTCTTGAACTTTGAGGGCTCTGAAAATGCAGCTGGGGACTTGTCTAGTTTTCCTATTAAAACATTTCTCCCATAGCATCAGAGTTACACAGGTCCTTTAAAGCCATGGGCTGCTCTTTTGAGACCCCCCACACCACCCATTGTCTCCCTTCTGAGTTGGGCTAGAATGACTTTTGATGTCTGGATTCCCAAGCTTTTTGTGAGTAAAACATTTCATTTGTTGTTGAGAGAAATGAGACCTAAGGCTTACACTTTGTGATAAGTTCTCTTGAGTAACAGATCTCCCAGAATCTGCAGAAAGTATGTTTAGAACATAAGTTTTGATCACGAAGCTGTGAGGAGAGTCGCCATTGCGCTGGTCATAGTGGCTGCCAAACAGGAAGCCCTGAGCAGCCCTATACTTTCACGACACCTGCGTGGGGAAATCTGGATCTTAGTGACATAAGTTACGGTGCCTCCAAGAAGCTGTCGTGAGATACAGGATGCTCCCACTTCCTGGAGGTTGAAATTCCTAATGTCCCAGAGGACAAGGAGAGAGCCAGGAGCACGGAGAGGCTGCTGCCTTCACCCCTTCCAGTCACTTTTCTCCTCCTGCATTCTCCCCTGCTCTTCTTTACAAGAGCACCTTCTCTGGTGGATAATGCCAGTGGATAATGGGCTCTTTGTGTAGATGGAATCTTTCCTCATTGACAAGGGAAGGGAAGTGACATCCCAGGGTGTCAGCAAGCCACAGGGCTGCATAGAGGGAGGCTGGGAGCCTTTGAGACTCAGCCACTCTAGGGACCTGACATTGAGGCTTGGGGAGGGAGTAGGGTTGGGCAGGTAGGCGGGTGGGGGGATGTGCCTGACCTTATAGCAAATCCTTCCCTTCGTCCATCTCCGTTTTCATTGCTCGCTAGCGGCATTCCTGCTCATTCTCTGCACTGCAATTCCATTATCACTCCTGTTCTTGTCAGCGCTGTCCTCAGTGCTGTCCTAGGTGGTTGGCTGTTGTGCAGAGCGGAGGGGAGCTCAGTGTCTAGTGTGAAATAGGAGGGTCCTCGTAGGTTAGGTCTCTGCAGCCTTAGCGTACTCGGAAGCCTCAGGCATTTGGCCTGGGTACTGTTCTTTCTCTTTTTCGGTTACATTTTACGTGAATTTCTGAACTTGCTTTAATTCTGAGGCAATCTGAGGAGCCTGACAAAATTTGTCCAACTGTCCACAGGCCCTTTAATTTTTTATTTTGGCAGTAGTGAGATTTGAGTCCAGGATGTACTAAACTGTAGACTCAGTAGTGTTTATTTCTTTACATTTTGAGACAGAATCTGGCTAAATTGCCCAGGCTATGCCAACCTTGAACTGTCAGTCCTCCTGCCTCAGCCTCCTAAGCAGTTGCCATTGTAGGCAGGCCCTTTTAATTTTCTAAAGTTTTGTTAACCAATCAGTATTAGAGAATGGATCAACACTGGCAGAGATAAACAACAGAATAAAGGGTTAAAGGAAATCTTGAAAATATTTGATTTCTTTGGATTTCACTGACATTTAAATTTTTTAAAAATAATTTGGTTAGTGCATGTCTACAGCTCATGCAGGTCACAGTCATCCTGGGGTGTGATTACATGGGCATGCCACAGTTTGTTTCTTTTTTTAAAAAATCCCACTCCCCTGTAATTCTCTATCTTGTTTTTCATTTTTGTTGATATTATCAATCATAGCCCATGTTACAGCACGTAATGTTTATATGGATTGGGGTTTTACGTTCCTGTATGCGGTGCATCTTTATTCTTATTTCCCCTTCCCGTCGTCCTCACCTCTAACCCTTGTTCTCTTGGACAACTTTTTGACTGCAAGAGATTGCCCCCTTCCTCCTTCTGTCCATCCTTTATTCTCTTTGTTTGTACTTTGCCTCACTCAAATGAGAGCTACTCTACGGTATTTAAGATTGTATGGATGATTTACTTCACTCAACATTGTTTTCCAGGAACATCCATTTTCCTACAAATGTTTCAAATTTGTCATTCTTTTTTTTCCATAAATTTATTGATAAATAGCAATGAGACAATTTCAAATCAAATCGGTAGGACAGTTTCAATAATTAACAGACCGCATACATTCTTCTTACTGGTTAATTGCTGCAGAAGATGCAGACTTGATATCCTATTTACAAACACCATTAGAACAAATCATTCTATTCATTAAGAGAATGTAACTATATATCTATCATAACCACTTTGAATACACAGATACAAAATGAACATTCATCTGTATACCCTTTTGGTGTTAAGATCTGTTATTTGAATATTATAGGTGTGTAAACTCAGCAAAATATGCTCAAAGAGTCCAGTAGCCCATCGTAGTATTGGGTCTTCCACTTAACTGGCAATGTCAGAAATTGTTGACCTGAGTCCCCCACAGCTCAACATAACAGCATGGCTTTATTTCTTATATTTCGATTTTATACTTTTCTGCTGGGTGGTTAAGACCAAGGTAAAGCAGGACCTATGCAACAAGAGTTGTAGCTTTTGGGTCCGACAAGGTCAGTGAAATCCCCTCAGGATTTATCCTGAGATCCTGTACCTCAGATTGTAGAACCTTTGTCAGTGTCAGCCATGTGGATGAGTCAC